TTAATGTACAGCTAGCTAATGTAATGGATAGTGATGGGCAGATGAGACTTCATGAAGCGTTTTTACACATTATCACACTGTATCTCTGGAAAAACCACTAGTCATCCTGGTCCTGGACAACAGCTCCACCAGGGGTGGGCCATCCTGGTCCTGGACAACAGCTCCACCAGGGGTGGGCCATCCTGGTCCTAGACAACAGCTCCACCAGGGGTGGGCCATCCTGGTTCACAGACAACAGCTCCACCAGCTGAAAAAATCATGTTTGAGTGTAAATGCAGTTTTCAGAAAATTCCTGCTCAAAAGTTCTTGTCTCTTGCACTGATTTCTTCTTTTAACATTGTGAAGCTCTACTTAGAACCTTCTTAGATTTGAACAAAGTTGGGGGGCCAACTTCACTCAGGTGGCTGACACATGTAAGCCCTCAATAACTGGAACACACTCTCTGGTCCCCCTTTTAAAAATGAGAACCATTATTCCTGTTTGCCACTCTGCAGGTGTTGTCCCAGTCCTCCATGCAACATTGAAGAGACGTGTCAACCACAACACTTCCATAACACCAAAAGCCTTCAACAAACCCTGGTCCCCTGGCACCTGTCGGCTTTTTGACTTCATCTGTGACCTCTGTCCTGGTAATGAACACGTTCCAGGTTCCTCAGAATCTGCCTCCTCAAAGGTACACGTATGGATTAAGGAGATCCTGAAAGTGCTCCTTCCACCATCGTACAATATCTCCAGTCTAGCTCTGCAGCTCCCAAACCGAGAACAGCCCGGAACAAGGTCCACTTTTTTTTTTCTGAACAGTTTGCCAGAACCTTCTCGAGCCCAACCAAAAGTCCTTCTCTATGACCTCTCTGAAATACCCCTGTACCAGAGTTTTTGCATCAACAACCACTGGACAGCTGCTTCAGGAGTCCTCCAGGACATGTGTGGGACATGTGAAAAACTTTCCTGAATGTGTGAGATGAAGATTACACGGAATAAGACTCAACCAGATTTTCCCATTTTACCTTCACTACGGTTAGTGAGTTTACCAGGTGTGTCCAGCAGCCTCCCCTGCCACCAAGCCCTAACTCACTACCAGGGGTCAGATTTATAAAGCTTGTGTACGCACAAAAACGAGCCCAAAAACTTGCGTACACCACTTTTCACGCCAAGGTTGTGATTTATAAAACTCAAACTTGACGTGAAAATGTGCGGTGCCTCACAGCTCTGACCCATGTGTACGCTCATTTTTGAGACGTGAAACTGCGACACAGATGGTGAAGTGAGGAATTACAGCCACACTGTAATGATCACTGTCAGATATTTAATTTCACTGACCGATTTAAATACATCTTAACATTCATGAGGTACTTTACATTGACTGTTTATGGTTGAGTGTGGGCGTGTAGAGGGTAGGACCTGAGGCGGGACCATGTGCACAAACTCTGAGGTGATGGTGTGGTCTATAAAGGACAGGTGCGCAGAAACGTGAGTACACACGGTTTTATAAATCTGAAATTTTTTTTTGGCATACACCATTTTTGCCTTTTGGCCATACGTTCAGTTTTAGTATGGTTTCCACGCAATCCTTTATAAATGAGACCCCTGGTGTTGATCGATTGACAATGGTGACTCTCTTTAACTGAATGTTTTAGACACAAGGCTGCAGGTCTGATGACGTCAAAGTTTTAGGGAGAACTATTGTGTAATGTGTAGTTCACATATGTGTTGATGATGCTGATGCTCAGCTCTTACCATACCAAATTTTTAGCTATCTGTAAAATTGTCATAATAATAAACATATTTGTGTCTCCTGAGATCAGTTGGTTGAGGCAGCCATTGTGGATTTAGTTGACTCTAAAAGTTGTAGATGTACATTTAATTATTACTTTTTAAGACTTTCATCACAATCCATATTGAGGTTCTTAAATACCACAAACACACACACACACACACACACACACACACACACACACACACACAC